TCAAGACATTGCAGCTTCTCAGGTTATTTTTATAGGTAAAAATAAAAACCAATAGGGAATGTTACAGAAATATATAGGTTTTAGTCAGTTTTAGTCCTGGTCATGGGATAATTTGACTAATCTGAGCATATATGTGTGATAGAATAATCATGAAATACATTTTTGGATCACATTATTAGTAATAAAGCTACAAAGTTGACATATTTGAACGCCATAATCAGTTTATCTGAACTTCTACAACTAAAGTTGGAGTTTTCTGATCATTTTTCCAACTTTCATTGTGCAGAGTAATTTTTATGCAGCAGTTCGTCTTCAGCAACATGTTGAACATGTGCAACTGCACCATCTTATTTAAATTCTATTTTGCACTTATTTTTTACTGTGTATATAATATTGTGTCTGTTTATATGCTAGACTATGGAAGGTGACCTTGAGTGCCAAGAAAGACGCCTACAAATAAAATGTATTATTATTATTATTATTAACAGCATTTTAAAGTATAAAGGAGATAAGTGTAGGACATCTTTGATCTTAAAGTGAAACAACAAAGCTATTAGTTTTAATTGAAGGCAGAAGGATAACTGCAGCACATTAAGAGCTCAAGCTACATCAGACTAAAAATCACCTTTGCAAAAGAAAAAACAAGTTTTACAATATTTAAGGGATGTTTTGGATTTTAAATGTGATGCTACATCTGTGTTTCCCAAAAACAAAGGACACAGGTTGCGCTACACAACACAGGTTTTAGTTTGCATGTTTACCTTGAAGCAGTGTGTCTTCTGCTCGCCATCCCAAATGGTGCGGGGCAGTGGGAACTTCTTGCGGATCCTGTATTTCTCCACAGGCCCCAGTGGCCTCCCCCTGAGCCTTTCAGCCTCTCTGTAGTGTGCGTCCAGCCAGAGGTCTTGGAGCTTGGCGTGCGACTCCCGCGTGAACCTGTGGCTCTGGAGAATCTGATACAGAGCATCAAAGTTCCCCCTGTGGAAGGCCACGAGCGCCCTCGCTCTCATCACGGACTCGTGCCGATTGAGGGCCTCCCCGGCAGAGCCAGGGACGGCAGCAGGCAGCGACCAAAGGAACCGACCGAGACGCTCTATATCCCCGGTCTCCTCCAAGTTCTCGCACACCCGAGCAACCTGGTCTGGAGTGAACATCGGCAAAGGGAACATCTCACCTTCTCGCTTGTAGCTCTGAAATCTTCACTCATAGGTCCACTTGCAGAGCTTTGAGCACTTGCTGCCTTTTTGAAACTGCTCCAACTTTATTTATGCCTCGCCTGTAGACCTGAGCTATTCCTGGGATCTGGGCTGATGCTTCCGAGAAGCCCCGTAGTGATGCGACCAGGGAGCAGAGACAAATGAAGAAAGAGGACAAGTGGCTGTCAGTATTTATATCTAGATACAATTAGCATCTCCGTAGTTGTTTTGAGAAGGATTAAACATCCCGGCCATTAGCCTCTTAGTGGGGGGTAGTGTGTGCAGAGGTGCCTGGCTGATCAGCTTGTTTGGCTTAGCCTGAGGATACATTGACTGCCAGGATGACCGTAGTGAGCAAACAAGTGAGGGAAGATTATTTAAAAGATCTGATCTTCAGGATATGCCATGCCTGGAGAGCAGATGATGGACAGAGAGGATGTAGAAGCTGTTAAGTTTCTAAACAAATTAGCAGAATCAGAGTTGTATTTCTGCCTTTATGGCTGTCTGAATTTAGAAAGACCCTAAAAGATGGTTTTGCTCATATGAAAATAATATCAAATACACCCCAACTTTTGGTCTGAATAGGCTAGGATCATGTGAAGTTGCAGCAGACAGGCTAATACCCTTGTAATTAAAACAGACATTGGCTGCAGATACACTATCCCCATCGACCACTCAACGTGATGCTAATGCCCCCGGACATCAATGTAAATGTAGGAGCAAGTCAGGACAGTGTTAATAATCTGCAACCTGGTTCAGTGGCTCATTAATCAGCCTTAGAGCAATTTTTTTTTTTATTATTAATCAGACTAAAGATCCTGTCAGCATCTGTCAGCTATTGTTTAAACATATTACACTCAATTTGCCCAAAGTTAGGCAGATTCAATAAAAAAAAAAAAAAAAGTTATGTTTCATTTTACAAACCAGACGCAGATTAATTTAGGTGAGATTATATAGATTTGTATAAAGGTTGCAGTCAGGTCATCTAGGTTAAAATCAGGTGAGGGGGATGAAAATCCAGACTACAAAAGACGTGAGTGGCAGACAACAGAAAGATGTTCTACAGAAATCAGGATTCAATGACACATTACAATGTTTCTGTTTATTTTATTTTTTGTGTGATTTTTGTGTTTGGCTATTTTCTAACCACTGAAAGAAAAGAAAATTAATCCATATTGGGTGGTAACCACTTTTTGAGATCTTCTGAACACTCCTCAGATTACATAGGATTACAGTCTGCATGTAACTGTCGATTGATTTAATGTGTAATTTGGGACATTTTAGCAACTTTTATTAAACTTTTAACATTTGTTTTGTTAGCTGAAAAATGCAAAACACATTTTTGTTTTCACTGATAGTGCATTCCAAAATAAGCAATTTAACAACTACTAAAAATAACACCTTGAACAAAAATATTAATAAAATAAACTTAATAATAGTACGATAAAGACGAGACATATTATAAAACATTTGGTCCAAAAGGAGCGTAAAGCTGATGTGCACATTTTCCACAGTGAAAATGCCAAGACACTACAAAGACTATTAATGTCTTGATGATTATGTCATTTTATTTTTTGCATTCTAATGAAGCGTTCACATTATTGTGATCCATTTTTATTCCGTACGTTTTGGTGCGTTTCTCGTTCCGCAGTTTTCAAGCTATTTCAACAATTCATCTATCAAAACGTTCAGCTCTTTCAGGACAATCCTGCTTTGACTTCTGCTTCATCTGCTTCACATTTTGTTCTGCTTCAGTTTCCTTGTGCAGTTTTAAACATTTTTCAGCTACTTTCAGTTGGGGGTTTTTTCAGCTGTTTTGTGCTCCTTTCAGATTCTTTCTGCTTTGTCTGCTTTTCTAACTTCTTTCGGCTAATTTCAGATTGTTCTGCTCCTTTCAGCTTATTTCTGCTAATTCAGCTATTTCGATATTTATACTAATTTTAGCTTTTTCAGCTAATTCCACATTTTTTTGCACTCATTTAAACTATTTTCATCTTAATTCAGCAAAAAATGTTCTCTCTCAACTTCCTTCTGGTAATTTAAGCTTCTGCTTTTTTTTAGCTACTTTTCAGCAGGTTTTTGTTGTTACTAATTTCAGCTTATTTCAGATAATTTCTACTTTTTGTCTTTGTTTCTGCTTCTTTCAGCAGATGTGCTGTATCTGCTTTCTTTTGATAATTTAAGCTTCTTCTACATTTTCAGCTACACTTTTAGCATTGTTAGCTAATTTCAGCTGTTTTCAGATAAATTCAAGTTTTTTGTGGTTACTTCTGCTACTTTCAGTCTAATTAATGTGTTTCTACTCATTTCAGGTTATGTTCCTTTCAGCTTTTTTTCAGCTAGTTTCAGCTTTTACTGCTATTTCAGCTACTATTTCGCTGTTTTATGCTAACATTAGCATTTTCAGCTATTTCCACATTTTTTGCACTCATTTCAACTTTTTTCAGTGTAATTCAACAAAAATGTGCTCTCAACTTCCTTCTGGTAATATAAGCTTCTTTCTGCTTTATTAGCTACTTTTCAGCTGTTTTTTTTTTTTTTTGTGCTAATTTCAGCTTTTCTTGGCTTCGTCAGTCAGATGAATTTTAAGTAATCTGTTCCTAATTGTTGTGGTCATTTCTATGTTTTTAAACCTAATTCAGCAAATAGGTGTTCTTTCTGCTTTCTTCTACTAAAGTAGGCTTAGTCACTTAGTCCAGATGACCTGACTGAAAATTGTTGGATAGGCTTAGTCACGTTTTTTTTATTTATTTATTATTTTTTAGCTAATTTCAGTTGTTTTTCAGCAAGTTCTTCAGCAGTAAGCATACTGCATTTGTGCAGAAAATGCAATTTCTCTAGTTTTATTTAACATTTTAGTGTCGTATGGAAAAAAGATAGATCCACAGATGATCAGATGTGTTTATCAAACTTATTAAGCTTTGGAGAACAGGCAGACTCACAGAGTCAGCGCATCACAAGTACAGAACTTATTAATGCCTTGCTCATGGGTTTCCGACCTGTTCTAATGTTAGTTTTGTAGAAACCCATCAGAGACCTGCCTTTCTTCTTCACCAACAAGTTAACAGTCTCACAGAAATGAAAACATTTTCAATGTTTCTTACGGGGGCAGGTGGTAAGTGTCTTTAGCCAGCTACTGACCCTGTCATGAAATCAAAGCATTGTAATAGCCTACCGTTCACAGTTACCTTAAAGTAAATTGATTATAAAGATTATTAATATGGTAAAATAATATTGAATGTATCAGGAAGCGGATCAATAAATTACATATTCCCTTCACAGTAGCACGAGCGCCATCCAGTGTGGTAATAAATCGCAGTTCTGAAGTCTTTGGTTGTAAAACAAGCAGGTTAAACTAGAATATACCTGCAGACTGGGGGGGTCACTGGTGCCCATACCCAGTGATAGCTGGGTATGGGCACCAGTGACCCCTGTGACTCGAAAAGGAAGAAGCGGGTAAAAGATAATGGATGGATGATCATGGCATGAATTAAACACAGCAGAGTTGTTGTTTTTGCATGCACTTTAGGCCCTCCATGAAGAAAACTATTCAAATGAAAGTACATAAATATCTGAGAATCCGAGTGAAAAGTGCAGCACAGTCGTTTCGTCGTTAGAAAATCCTTCCTCGATAAAGGGAGAAGGTCCGAGCGCCGTTCCTGTTTGCGCTGATGATCCCTGCAGTGCTCTGCATAGACCGTAGGGTACAGACAACATGTATTACTTTGTAAACATTTGACACTTGTTAGATCTTAAATCTAGATTAAAATACCATTTAGGGATGGTAAGTGGTGAGAAGGTGGGGGGTCGGGGTGGGGGGTCTTGTGTGTCACACTCTTTTGAACAGAAGGAGAGAAATGAGCTCAGTGACGATCATACTCGCAGTTAACCCGCACAAGTTATAGACACTGTACACCCCCGCCCACCCCCACGCACATTTACCTTCATTACAAGTATACCCCCCCACTCAATCTGTTTAACATTTTTAAGAGCAGACTGAACCAAAATCTGCTTAAGCACACACAAGCCCTTAGAATAAGATGAATAATAAGACGGTGATGGGATGAGCTGTATGTGTTTTTGGAGGGGTGACGGGGGGGGGGGGGGGGGGGTCAAATACTTCCTTGTTTTTTCTTTCCTGTTTTGAATCTGTTCATTAGAAGAACCACGCTTTTTAAATAGATTAAATTTTAAATTATTATTTTATTTATTTTTTTATTCTCCTTTGGTTCTGATTTTTTTTCAAACTCTTAATTATAGTTTGTGCATTAAAACAATAGTGTTTATAACCAAAGGACAATTTAAAAAGATTAACTGTGAATTTGAATATTTTTAAATAAAACATAATGAAGCATAAGATCCACTAAGAAATAAAGTTGTTTAAAAAGAAGCAGGTTTTATTTTCTTTAAGTAGTAGTACATGTTTTACTACCACATTTGTGTTTAAAAATCATAACTCATCTCCTGATTGAGAAAACATCAAGTGAACTTACATTAACTTTTTTTTATTTTATTTTTTTATACATTTTGGTGACACTTTACGATAAGGCTCCTCTTATAGATGGTTAATAAATAGTTAATAGATACATGATTAATTCCTCTATAAACACTTTATAAATCATAAATTGTTTATTATGCATTAATTAAGGCTGACAGAGAGACAAAACTGACTAGTTTCTTGCCAAACAGTGCCATCTATTTTCATCTAGAGTTGTTATATTAAATATTTCAGACTAAGCTGAGCACAATAAGCATTTCTAAACCTATTTTTTAAGATTTACTGTATTTTTTGCCCTTTAAGTCACATCTTTTTGCATAAATTTGCAAGTCCTGCGACATACGCCCAAGCGACTAATATATGTTTTTTCCCATGTTTATAACCCAGTTTTTGGCTGAGATCTGACAATTTCATTCATTCTGACATGAAAAATAATGAACACTACCATTTTAGCCACTAGAGGGCCCTTGAGTAATATGGTGATTAATGAGACACTTGGCTTGCCATACAGGCCACATTCATCTCGCTCCGGATCTCCTGGAGCAAATGTCCAATCAGATGCATTTCACCACCTTAGCTATAATGTCGAGCAAACCAACAATTGTTTTTAGGTGGTTATCTTGTTAAATTTTTGAAGA